TCACCTGTGCTGTCACGTCGAGATTGTCGTCACCTGTGCTGTCACGTCGAGATTGTCGTCAATTGTGCTGTCACGTCGAGATCGTCGTCACCTGTGCTGTCACGTCGAGATTGACGTCAACTGTGCTGTCACGTCGAGATCGTCGTCACCTGTGCTGTCACGCTGAGATCATCGTCAACTGTGCTGTCACGCTGCGATCTTCGTCAACTGTGCCATGACGTCGAGATTGTCGCCACCTGTGCTGTCACGTCGAGATTGTCGTCAACTGTGCCATCACTTCGAGATTGTCGTCACCTGTGCTGTCACGTCGAGATCGTCGTCACCTGTGCTGTCACGTCGAGATTGTCGTCACCTGTGCTGTCACGTCGAGATTGTCGTCAATTGTGCTGTCACGTCGAGATTGTCTTCACCTGTGCTGTCACGTCGAGATTGTCTTCACCTGTGCTGTCACGTCGAGATTGTCGTCACCTGTGCTGTCACGTCGAGATTGTCGTCACCTGTGCTGTCACGTCGAGATTGTCGTCACCTGTGCTGTCACGTCGAGATTGTCTTCACCTGTGCTGTCACGTCGAGATCGTCGTCACCTGTGCTGTCACGTCGAGATTGTCGTCACCTGTGCTGTCACGTCGAGATTGTCGTCAATTGTGCTGTCACGTCGAGATTGTCGTCACCTGTGCTGTCACGTCGAGATTGTCGTCAATTGTGCTGTCACGTCGAGATTGTCGTCACCTGTGCTGTCACGTCGAGATTGTCGTCAATTGTGCTGTCACGTCGAGATCGTCGTCACCTGTGCTGTCACGTCGAGATCATCAACTGTGCTGTCACGTGGAGATCGTCGTCACCTTTGCTATTACGTCGAGATCGTCGTCAACTATACTACGGCCGCGCCTTGAGAACCAGGTTTGGCAATTACACACTCTCGCCCAGCGACGGCGTGATTCGTAATATTGTGTTCACAATACCGTTGACTGACACGCCAAAGGGCTTCAGCGGCATCACAACGCATTGCCGGGCGTGTGCAATGTAGTTGCCAGATTTAGACGGCTTTAAGGGAATTTTTCAGCCGCCATCGCTCTGTCAATCCCTTTTGTACAATCGGTTACCGTATCGCAACGTGCAGGCACCTTCACGCGATAACAATCGTCGGAAAGAGCATTCTTCATCCCGGAAATACGTGGCCCGAGGAACGCACGCGTAAGACGCTTTGCAATTGATATGCGCACACACACACCAAGGGAGCGGGATACTTTCCAAAGATTCAGGGCGACGCAAGGTCACGTAACAACGGCAAAGGTTTGTACAGCTACACATTGCTAGACATTGTTGTACATCTGCTTGCACGCGAAAAGCTTGACATTCCCTGAAGTCGTCAGGAACGCATCATTATTTGACCCCACTTTTTCCTACACAGCGGCTTTACCTCCAACTCACAATTGCTCTTAAAACCCAAAGCAGAAAAGTGTTGAATGTGACAACTACCCTTGATAAGGGACGACATTTGGGTACATTTACTCAAGTGCATGTGTACTTGCACATCGGCGCATAAGTGCGCATTTGCGCGTGCGCGTTCGTGCGTGTTTACTGCGCGCATGTGCCAGGGCCCCTTTGGCTGCCGATGTTGGTCGGCGCAGCCCACGGCAGCAGGGTGTTCAGGGCCAGCAGCCTACGGCAGCAGCGTGCTCAGGGCCAGCAGCAGCGGCAGCCGGCGGCTCCAGCCGGCCAAAACGCTACCCACTGCCCTGTTGCAGCCGTCGAAGGAGTCGCACGACTTCACACAGCCGTACACCAGCCTGCCAAACAAAGGGAGGTCTCTCAGCCACACACGCCAACTGCGCACGCGCATGGGTCGTGAAACGGAATAACACGTACTCGTGATGTCCTGTGCCAGAGCATTCATTCCTTTTGTATTCAAACATTCAATCGGTCTGACTGTATTGCCCCGACGATCGCCTATTCAGCGTCTTTTTGAAAGAGCAGTGCTTGTCACAGGCCCGCTGATGGCCTGTGTGCACCGAACCACAGGCCCACTATCTCGCAGACCCCAGCGGACGCGACGCCGCCTTCACTGACAGCCTTGCGATGACTCTGGGATCATTATCATAAAAAGACCGCCGGCGACGACATTGGTCTCGTGCCGCCAGACGCGCTCGTTACCGTCCACCCATAGGAAAATAAACTACGCTTGGGAAATTATAGAGAGAATCTGTCTCATTTTTTGCGAGTGTTTTTGATGACGCGTTACGGCCTACTGCGACCAGCCGTAAGTCAACATACCGCTAGTGTTTTCTTGTTGGCTTTATCACATGCTGTCACGATAATAGCATGCCTGCAAGTGACATGTTATGGGAGGCGCATAAGGACGACATCATAACCAAGGCATCAAGAGCTTCATACACACGTTATGAAGAAGTTACATCCACCACAGGAGAGGCTTGTTCAGATTTATACATCGTGCATGTATTTGACCACTATTGGAATATTATGCACCCGTTTTCCAGGTGGGCGTCACTGCCAAACAGGCGCAACATATTGAGAGGGTGTGGGAGGGGGATTTAAAATCATGTACAACTATGATGAATGACTATGCTGATTAATCATCTATGACATATATGACTATGCTGAAGAGTGCTCGCACATGCTGCAAGGATTGGACATGGAAACCTTCGCCGACAGGAAAGAAAACTATTTCCAAGGTAAGGAAAACAAAGGCAACGGGGACGTGAGTAGGGCGCGAAGATGTTGTATAGGTAAAAACGCAAACAGATATCCCGATATCAATTATCAAGAAGATTCTTCTTCAGCAATATTGTTTCAGGTAAACTATGTTTTGCTCCAGAAGGTATGTTGCAGAAGCATCTGAACTCAAACAATTGCATGCAGGAACGGTCCAGTCAACACCGTTGCTCGGTCATAGGCAGCCGCGTTTTGTTTCGGCGGGCAGTTTCGATAAGCGGTAGCAGGCCGCAGGGAAAAAGCCATCTCTTGAGACTAAGGCTGCAAATTGTCTGTTATTGGTTTCACTCTGGTCTGGCGCTCAGCTCTAAATTTCGCCGAACTGAACCTCCTTAACCCAATAACACCCCGGGGCAGCTAGGAATGACTTCAGCCGAATATCAAAACATCGCAGCCCACTAGCCCAAGTCATAGCAGCGTAGGGCTTGCGAAGGGTGGTAGCATGTTTCCTTAGGGCAACAAAGTTAAAGTGATTTCCCAGGAAAGGGATGCTTACCATTTTTTTTCTGGATGAATGAAACGGGTACATAAAAATGTGCAATTAACGATCTGGTTAATGGTGGTCAGACGGCAATATATTGTTCACTCTTGTTGAGCATTCGCCTAATGTCGCAAATGCATGGCTTGGGGGCCCACGCCAATTTTAATGTTTTATATGTGGTGCCCTCTTACCAACACCAGTGAACATATATATATATATATATATATATATATATATATATATATATATATGTCTCTCTCTCCCTCTCTCTCTCTCTCTTTTATATATCTATATATATATATATATAATATAATATATATAAATAGATATATATCGCATTCATATCGCTATGCATAGCTGCACATACTGTTCCTGACGGTATCCCTATTTAGGGCCAAGGTTAACGCCAAATTTTCATGTCGTCCAAAGTACTGGAATGCGTACCTGACGTTTAGCGCTGTAACACTTTACGGCACCAGGTGACGTGGAGTGATGCAACCACTGCCATTCCATACTAAGATCAGTTCAGAAACTTCTGAACCGATTTGAGACGGAAATCATGCTTAAAAAGCTATATTAACCACAACAAGTTTCAAAAGTTTTCGAGAGTTTAAGGGGGACGGCTGGTAGAGGACAACAGTCAGGCAAAGCACGCCTTTGACCAGGCTCCTCGCAAAGAAGAGTAGTAACTCCAAACTGCTTTGCTTTGTTATAAACGATTTCAAGCAGCATCTGCACATGAACAGCATGGGATGAGATGGCCGTTTCCTTCATCATCCGCAATGCACAGTTAGCGTTTTTAAGGGAACAATCCTGGCCGTGCTGCGACGGTATGAATTGGTTACGGTTTTTTTCCTGAGATTGTTCTGGGAGAGAGGTCTGGTGGGGCCTCCCCGAGCGTTGGAAAATAGCGCAGGCTGTCTTTCGTCATGACCTCCACAGATGGCCATAGTGGTCAGCAGCCGTCCTTGATCACGTACGGGTTACCGGAGGCGTGTGAGTCGTTACCGGAGGCGTGCGGGTAGTTATCTGAGGCGCGTGGGTTGGGAGCGTGCTGCTGGGCTCTGAGATGTTCGACAATGCGTGTGTGCTGTGCGCTGGATGGCTGTCGTAGGACATATGTGTGGTCCCCTTCCTCTGACCTACATAAAGCTCCGTTTCTCTCAGATCCGACAGGTTGCTTTGGGTGGTGCGAGAAGCGGAAAGTACGAGATTGCTGCCACACCGAGCTTATGGGACCGTTGAAGCCACAAGGGACCGAGAAGCTTGTGGAGATCCCAGACAGCCGTTTTGTAGACAGCTTGGATGTTTGGGTAGTCGGAGGTGCTTCCTGTAGACGAGGTGTTGAGTTAAAATGACGCCATACATCTTCGCCAGTTGGCCGTCTCAATCTTGGGCTGAACTTCATCCGAGACCAGCCATATGTCATCATGTTTGGCCACGATTGTTTTGCTGTTAGCAAGCAACTTTTTGCTTATTATCGTTTGATACCCAGTCTCATTTCCATTAGGAGCGAGAGAGCCAGTGTCATTGTGTTGATTCAAATCGAACAATGAGTGGTGTGGCCTCGTCTGCGGATATTCCACCTTATGTGTCTTTAATTGCGCCCGAAATGCGTTAAAAATACCTCAAATGTTTCATAGATGGCGGTTTAAAAATGCCCTTTATAAACTTCATCGCCAGCCCAACGACGGAAAAAGAATTAAAACCTTGGCCCAGAAACATTTTGATGTATTGAGAAATACTTTGAAAAGAGGTGTTGCTTTCCGCCTGTCGGCAATTGCTTACTTCTAAAAGTGATCTTATTAACACCATGATCTCTTAACCTAGTTACCTTTTGAGTTTAGTATCCCAACGGATGGCACTGACGGTGAGATGTGTAATATTACATATCCATCACATGTCGTGAATGATGTTGATGTACAAAATGTCACGTTTTGAGGCACCTTGTTCTCAGTTTCCCAGTCCTGGGTTAAGAGGACATTTTTGGGATCATATTCCAAATGCGCACAGTCGACATCATATGACCTCTCCATGAAGAGGAGACGTTGGCGTGTCTAGGGGGACGTTCCGCAATATTTCAGGGTTATTGTTTTGGTGAAGTATTTTGGGATGCTAATTTTCCTCAGCTATGAGAGGTTATCCCATTTGAGAAGGCTTTATTGGGCCTCCAACGAGATCTTCCACTGTGGAGTCTTTCAACGGAATCTGTTGCGTAACACCTTTGTAACAATTTATGGACGCCCACTACTTTTGCGCGCTAAGAAGTTAGTGACGGTCAGAAAAAGTCTATGGGGACTCCAAAGACAAGGTTTTACGCTCAGATGTGCACTGCCTTTAAAGGAGATCAATTATCCTCCAAACATTTAAGGAACTGTTCTCTTTTGCAAAGTTCATAACAATATCACTGCTTTTGCATTGATTTTGCGGGTTGCTTCCGCCACAATGTCGATCCATGCTAGAGTTTATGCGAAATTGAAGCATCTTCCCATGGCAATAAACCCTTTCGCGAAGGTGTTCAACATGGCAGACATTTTACCAAACGTTGATGGATCGTGTGAGTTAGGGCCGTATTTATTTTCAAGCGTTACTTAACTCCAGCAATAAGTACCTCTATCAACGTAAGTCATCATCTCGGGTCAATCTGCACTTCGAATGGAAAACCTTCCCTAAAGAAGGACCGCACGACCATGACCTTTCCCAGTTTGTTACGATAGAATCCTCCACATTAGCTAAGCCAAGTTTTCCGCTATGTTTATCAGCACGGTTTTCTGCCAAAATGATTATCAATATCTCCCTTTTCAACTCCAGCGAAAAGTTTTCCTCTTTTGGGAACAGACGATCTGTGTGGCCTGCGCGCGTTTATGCTACGTGTTGCCAGTCTAATCGAAGTCTGTCGGTTAAATTGAAGGGAGTGTTCCAAATGTACATGGGATTTTGAACTGAAATAACCATCTCAAATATTTTCCGGTGCAGTTTACGCCCCTGCCCTCTTAAGACCTTCTTGTCTGCCTTCTTGTTTCTGAGCTACACGCCCGCGAAGATGCGCTTACTATTTCATGCAGACTGTTTCGGGTCACCCAGCATCCATTAATCCATAATAATGCCCTTCAACTCCTGCCATTTTATTGTCCAGGCGGCGATAAAGGTCAAGAAAATATAGTTGTCGAGTCTTTCATATCTGACGTTCGTGGGCACGATTAATAGACTCAACAGCTGTTAATTGCCTCTAAACAATGTTGTGCAAGGTAAGATGACGTAATCAAACAATAACGCACTGAGGAGCATATTCACAACATTTAGACATTGTGTTGTTTAGAGCAGTCCTTTCCACTTAAAAATACACCAATAGCTGTAAGTGAGCTTATGACATTATATCTCATGCCTCTTCAGTATCTTCAAGCGGGGAACGTGTTGCCAGTCTAATCGAAGTCATGTCGGTTTAATTAAAGGGAGTGTTCCAAATCTGCATGGGTTTTGAACTGAAATAGGCATGTCGAAGATCATTCGATGCAGTTTACGCCCCTATCCCCTAAGACCTTGCCTGCCTTCCTGTTTCTGAGCTAAACGCCCCCG